GCTCGGCCATCGCTCGGTCTCTCCACCTGAGAAATTTCGCAGCCGCACACCCGACCTCGAGAGCGACCCAAAGAGGCGGAAGGAGGAGAAGCTAGGACATGTGAGTACCATTACTGGCATTGACACCATCCTACCGCCACTTTCTCGCGCGGCGGCGCGGCGTCGCGACGATTTGCCCCGATTTGCTCGAATCGATCGGCAGTTCGATCGGACGATCGATGTTTTACGTTCCGTTCTTACCATTTGATCTATCGGATCTGTTTAATTTAAAATTCTATTTTATATTTTGTAAATTAGTAATCGGATTTTTATTTAATCCTCCGGAGCTGATGGTATGTTTATTGAGCCGATTCAATTATAAATCTCTTTGTAAAATATGTCAAACAATTTAATTTTCTTTATGTATAAATTAATGTCCTACGTAATAGTTTTCAAAGGAATGTTCTAGGAACATCCTTAGGACGTAGAACATCCTCTGACCGTTTTTAAAATGTCATTTGGAGAACTATAGTATTCGAAATATACAGGGTGTTCCGAAATCCACGAATCACAACATATCACAATTGGAAAGTTTTCGAAAAATTGATTAAAAATGTTATGTGCGCATTTTTATTTCAAGTAATAATTTTTCAGATAAGGATTTAAATATAACCAATTATAGAAATTACTTTTAGACGACTACTTATCCATGAATCGCAGTATTAGTAAACGCGCATTTTAATATTAAAATGAAATCCGTCTAAACGTAATTAATCCGTAATTAATTATATTTAAACCTTTATTATTTTACAAATTATTGCTTAAAATAAAAATTTACAAATAACTCGTTTACCTTAACCTTCTCGAAAACAATCTTATTGTTGATATTTCGATTCGCGAATTTCGGGACATTCTGTATATGTGATACTTAATATTCATTTCCTTTTTTACACGAATTATGTCATCTTGATTCCTTGAAATTACTTAGTGCTTTTTAATTAATATTAATTTAAATTAAATGAGTCTTACGGACTAGCGTCAGTAACTGTGTTACAGATTTTGTCAGCTTTGGAAGATTAAAATGAGTTGTAAAGTTATAAATTGTTGGAAGCAGAGCGCTCTGTAATTTCACGAAAATCGACTTTTCCGTTTGAGACTGTACTTCTTCAGCTGTTGAAAGTAGAAGAAAAAGTCAACGCATCGGTAACGCAGGTGCGTGCTGTTGCATTGAATATTATTCGTTGGTCAGTGCACACTTAACTATAGAGAGAGACTCGGCGTCGAAAAAGTTGCGCGTTACGGCGGAGGGCGCGTTTAGCTGAGAATTAAAATACTAATTGCAGCGACGTCGAAAGCCGATAAAACGGCCGACACTCTCGGCAATCAGGAGCGAGGGAGAAGAGCAAAGGGTGGTAGAATAAAGAGAGCGCGCGCGTTATATCGCTGGAAAGTAAACGTAAGAGTAATAAAAGGGCTGAGTTAGAATCGAGTTCGAGCCGCGCGATAAAGGATAGGAGAGCGTCGATGCTAACTTCCACTTAACCGTCGAATTCGCTGTAAAAAAAAAAAGGAGGGAGAGAAAGAGGAGAGGATGGAAAGTATGCTCGATAGTCTCGCGTGCAATCATGCGTCGCGGAAGTTTCCATCGAAATCGGATTACCCTCGTTCGCCGCAAAGGCGGAAAAAAGGACCCGGACTTCCTGGCCGGTCAAGAACCTGTACTGTATAACCCGCGAGAGTTCTTCCGTCTGTTAAGTCGGGCGATCGTCTATTTTGCTTAACGTCTATTCTGAAGTGAAGTTCCATGAAAGTGTGTTTCTCTGTCCTGAATCACAACGACAAAAAAAGTGCGCGAGCTCCTCTCCAGAGGCACGAACGCGGACTTTAGGGCAGAAGGGGGCGCCGACGGAAAAGGGGCGGGTGTATAATTAAAAACCGTGAAAACAGGCGAACAGTTAGCTGGCTCGTCGTGCGCGCACTAACTAAATTGGATTATTTTTCTCAGCTGCTCCCTTACTTCCTTCGGCTGCCTCACTTACCCTCTCTTACCATCTCTTTTTATCTTGTTTTACTTTTTTCCGGTTCTGTTATTCTCTTCTTTCATATTTTTTTTTTTTTTACACCGATTATAGCGTTTCTACGCGAATTTATTAGCCGGCCATGTTGATACCATCAATATTCTTTTTCTTTCTCACGCGACTGTATTCGTTGATTTACATTAATTAATATTATTTATTATTAATTATATAATTTATATTATTTATTTAAAAGATATCATAAAATCGTTGAGAAACGTGATCTATTATACAGGATGAATCGCGTAATTCGAACGAGTTATACCTCCTTCATGGTTGATAACAGGAAAAAGTGGCAAGGGGAAAAAACTAAACGATTTAATGATGCCTGATTTCTTATGAAGTTACCGTCCTCGTATTGCATGACTCATCCCTCTAGATGCGGGTGGAAGGAGAAAGTAAATTATCCACGAAACAAATACACTAATAATATATAATAAATGATCTTATTAAGCAATATTTTTGAACACAATCTTAAATTGAAGAAAGATAAAGGATATAATACGGAGCAAAACTATAAACTATTTTCTTCGTCCATTTGCCCTTTCAACTATCGAGGAACGTATTTCCCAATGGTTCTTCGCCACGTTCTGATGACCTCAGACCACCACTGTTAAAATTACTTCTCGGACAACCGTGTAGTTGTCGCGGCCAATTGTCGCGACCAAGCTACTGGGTGAAAATCAAGGAAACGTGGGCGACTAGAGCATCTTGCCTCCAGCTTTCTCTGCGTTCCCTTCCAACCATGCTTTCGTATTATCCTTCGTTCTTTTTGGATGTACTAACGATGCGTCGTTTACACGAGCAATCCCTTCGGTCCCAAGAGTGCTGAGAAGTTTGTTTGAAGTTGAGGCACTGGACAGATCCGGTCATCAGCTGCATTTCCCCGCAGCCGTGAGTTAACTTAAAGTCATGATAAGTAGAAAGCAATTTTAATGAAATTACAAAATTGTTATTACAATGTAATGATGTTACAAAATGTTACAACATTATATTATTACTTAACAATTTATAATTGTTAGATAATGTAATTGTCAAAATATGAAGACTTCTATGTACATTCCGTTTTTTAATCATCATAATATGGAATTACAAAAATATTTATCATCAATATTCCAACAAGATTTAGATGTCAAAATAAAATATTTTTACGACGGCGCTGTCAATCGATTTTTTTCGCGATTGATATTCTCATAATTCATCTTTTTACTTATTTACTTACGAATTTTTTAATTTTTTTATATTATCAGAGAAAATTATAATAAATGCTTTATATATATATTGAAATCCTCACTTTTTATGTATACTTTGAAATCCGTCACATCTCCTTAAAATCACGAATACATCTCTCTAGTACAGAGTAACATGATCAAGAATGCGAATGCAACATCGTATCCAGTCGTATGCATATAATTCACGAGAAGACCGACGAAGACGAAAAGAGAGAGAGAGAGCGAGAGAGAGAAGGGGTGGGAGGAAAGAGAAGGGGGACGCATCCGGAAATGAGTTTTCGTTCGTGTCCACGCTTAGGTTCTTAGGACTGCCGTCGAGCTTCGTACCTACATGTGCACGCCGAGAGAGGATTAGTCGTAGCTCAGGATACCACTACCACTATCTCTCTAACCCCTTCGCTTCATCCCCGAGGAAGCATTAATCAAAGGAGCAACCGTATGCCCTGTTTCCGTCGCGACGAAAGCTGCTGCCGGTTCCCCACATGAAATCGCTATATCGCGGGAAAGGGGTTTATTTTGTCTTACACATGTCGAATCGAAAATACAGTCTTGCAGATCGAAAACTTTCAATGATTATTTTACGATGTTTTCTTAAGTTTATTTAACTTTAACCTTTAAATTGGCAGGTGACAATATTCCACGCATAATTATCTTGCTAATCTTGTTCTGGAAACAGGAAAACAAAAAAACATTATTCATTACGTTTTATCATTTCATAAGAATATAAATAATGTAAATTCAACTTTATACGTGCTATTAAAAAATATATTATAAAATTTTGTTTAGGCTGTTCTGAGCACACACATCTATTTAAAGATTCAAATCAACGATTAATTTTAAATTCAAATTCAAGTGTATAAAAAAATGGCTTCAATGTATGTGTGTGATTAGTTTCCCGCGTAAAAATAACTTATTATACTGCAGTATAAACTAATCACATACACATATTGAGATCACTTTTTACACACTTGGATTTACACTATTTACAGTATTAAGTGGAAATATATACGTATGTTATTTGTGCATAGTTTTTTTATCTATTCGATATCTATTATGGTGAGAAAAAGGATCTATTTGATGCCTTTGTGGCAACATTTGGAGAATAGTGTATCCAGTTCTCGATTACTGCTTTATTTGATATAATTACTCCTACTGCGTAAATGGAGAGATTGTGTCTGAATGTCTGACTGTGACCTCATTTTCTCGTAATCGTCATCCCGGCCGGTTGTCACTACTACGGCGCTACTACATTGTGAAGCAGAGGAGAGGCAAAAAAGATTCCCGATAAAATCCTGGGATCTACCTCGCGCGCCCGCGGCGGTCTCGGTAATGCGACGGAGCATAGTGCTCGTTGTGAAATAACGTTTCAAAAGCGTGTCGGATGGCAAAGTGCATTTTTCATAGCGGTCGAAATGAAATTGAAGACGGAAAATCTCAAACGTGTTAAATGGTGAAATTTTCGCGAGAGAGACACGTGCTGCTGCATGATGAAAAGTAACTTCAGCTAGAAGGTGCTAGAAGTACCTAATTAATCGTTCAATTAAAATTCGTTCGACCTAGTAATTCCGGGTAACTCGGAAATCTTTTTAGAAACGTGCCCTAGTTATCTGTTAGTTATCTGTTAAGTAAGAATTATCGGCTCCTCAAAGTCGAATTTTTTTCGTTCAGTTTTTCGTTTCGATATTCTACGAGCAAGGTACCGAAATGTTATTTTAGTGTTGTTCGAAAAAAAAAAATCGCATTTGTTTACACTGAATGCGCAAGCATCCACGGATTTCACAGGATTAATCGAAATTCTCACGGCATTAGATGCG